CAGGTTCACGTAGGCTGGCTGAGAGGGCTCTGACACTCACCTTATTCTTCTCACTCAAACTTATCGGTCTTGAGTTTTTATTTTAGTGCTTAAATCACACTAACATGTACATAATATTTAGCACCTTTATTATTTTAAAGATAATTATCTTAATTATTACAGTTAAGTATGTATTAATTACAGTGGTATTAATTACATTCAAAATGCCCAGTCCCTGGCAGTTCAGTGGTTATAACTTGGTGTTTTTACTGCCAAAGCCTAGGTTCGATCCTGGTCTGGGAAGTAAGATCCTACAAGCTGCATTATGTGGCCAAAAAAATATATATATATATTGTGCAACCATTACCACTACTTTCAAAACTTTCCATCATACCAAACAGAAACTCTATTTTCATTAAGCAATAACAAACCATTTCCACCTTCCTCGAATCTCTAACAACCTCCATTCTGTCTCAATGAACTTGTCTACTCTAGGTACCTCATTTAACTGGGATCATACAGTATTTGTTGTTTAAAAGATAACAGGCCCAAAATAGAGTCGCTTAAGCTAAGCTGCATGCCACCAAACCAAGTCTTAATTTTAGCTTGGGCTCTCCTAGAAATTAACTCTTAAAGCAGTTGAGCAGGAATCACCTGCTCAACACTACTTCATCTGCCTGATAAACCATGCCATTCCCTAAAGGACAAGAAATTTGCAATAACCAACTGCTTGTTTGTTTGTTTGTTTGCCAACTATAGTATCTTTGTTCATACTCCCTTTTACCTAGAAAAGTCTTCCACTTTTGTTCAGGTCCTTGGAGTTCTTTTCTTTTCTACTGTTTATCTATTTCCTTACTTATTTGGTTGTGCCAGGTGTTAGTTGCTGTACACCCACAGAATCCTTAGTTGTGGCCCAGGGATCGAACCCAGGCCCCCTGCACTGGGAGTGTGGGTCTTAGCCACTGGATCACCAAGGAATGGCAGAGCTCTTTTCTATCTGCCAGGTTGGATGCGCCTGATTTGAATCAAATTTTGATCGAATAAACTCTTAAAAATTTCAGCATGCCTCTGTTTGTCTTTCCACATTGTCCTTTTATGTTTGGCTTATTCCACTTAGCATGATGTAGGTGGACATGGGCTGTTTCCACCTTTTGGCTATTGTGAATAATGCTACACTGAACGCCCAATGACATACAAGCATCTGTGTGAGACCCTGCTTTCAATTATTTTGGTATTTACAGAGGAGTGGAATTGCTGGATCATATGGTAATTCTAGTCATTTTGAGGAATCACCAAACTGTTTTCTAATAGTGGTTGTGCCATTTTACACCCCTGCCAGCAATGCAAAAGTGTTCTAATTTCTCTATGTTTTCACCAATATTTGTAATTTTCCATTTTTTCCCTCATAATAACCATCCTAATGGGGGTGACATGATATCTCACTGTGGTTTTGATTTGTAATTTCATAATGACTAGTGATGTTGAGCATCTTTTCATGTGGTTATTGGCCATTTGTGTATCTTCTTTAGATAATATCTATTCAAGTCCTTTGTCCATTCTTGAATTTGGTTGGTTGGTGTCACTGAGTTGTAGGAATTCTTTAGGTATCCTGAATATTAGTCCCTCGTTAGATATAAAATTTGCAAATATTTTCTCCCATTTTGTGAGCTCTTTTGACTCCCTTGATAGTGTTCTTTGATGCACAAATTTTTTATTCTGATGAAATCCAATTTATCTATTTTTTTTTCATTACCTGTTCTTTTAATGTCAAACTTAAGAAATCATTGCCTTCTCCAAGAGCATGAAGATTACATCTATGGTTTCTTCTAAGAGTTTTATAGTTTTAACTTTTGAATTTAAATCTTTGATCCTTTTATTTTTATATGATGTAAGGTAAGGGTCTAACTTCATTCTTTTGCATGTGGATATTCAGTTTTCTCAGCACCATTTTTTGAAAAGATTCTCTTTTCCCCATTAAATGGCCTTGGCACTCTTGAAAATCAACTGAACGTATATGTGAAGATTTATTTCTGGGCTTTCTGTTTCATTGGTCTATACGTCTTACTCATATGCCAGTACCACACTGTTTTGATTCCAGTACATTTATAGTACATCTTGGAAATCAGAAAGTAGGAGTCTTCCAACTTTGTTCTTCTTTTCCAAAATTGTTCTGGCTATTTAGAGTCCCTTGAGATTCCATATAAATTTTAGGATGGGCTTTTCTATTTCTCTTCAGTTCAATTCAGTTCAGTCACTCAGTCGTGTCCGACTCTTTGCAACCCCATGAACTGCAGCACGTCAGGCCTCCCTGTCCATCACCAACTCCCGGAGTCCACCCAAACCCATGTCCATTGTGTCAGTGATGCCATCCAACCATCTCATCCTCTATTGTCCCCTTCTCCTCCTGCCCTCAATCTTTCCCAGCATCGGGGTCTTTTCAAATGAGTCAGCTCTCTGCATCAGGTGGCCAAAGTTTTGGAGTTTCAGCTTCAATATCAGTCCCTCCAATGAACACCCAGGACCGATCTTTAGGATGGACTGGTTGGATCTCCTTGCAGTCCAAGGAACTCTCAAGAGTCTTCTCTAACACCACAGTTCAAAAACATCAATTCTTCGGTGCTCAGCTTTCTTTATAGTCCAACTCTCACATCCATACATGACTACTGGAAAAACCATAGCCTTGACTAGAAGGACCTTTGTTGGCAAAGTAATGTCTCTGCTTTTTAATATGCTGTCTAGGTTGGTCATAACTTGCATTCCAAGGAGCAAGTGTCTTTTAATTTCATGGCTGCAATCACCATCTGCAGTGATTTTGGAGCCCAGAAAAAGAGTCAGCCACTGTTTCCACATCTATTTGCCATGAAGTGATGTCTATTTCTCTAACAAAACACTATTGGGATTTTCATAGGGATTACCTTGAATCTGTAGACCACTTTGGGTAGTATTGCCATTTTAACAACATGAAGTCCTACAATCAAAGAACATGGAATGTCTATTTATTTAGATTTTCTTTCTTTCAGCAGCATTTTGAAGCAAGAAGCAATCAGGCAGCACTTTCAGCACTTCCCTTGGAAATTTCATCTGCTAAATATTCAGGTTCATCATTTACAAGTTCTGCTTTCCATTCAAAATGGGTTATGATTCCACTAAGCTTCCCATGACTATTTAACAAAGATTCCTTTCACTCCTAGTTTCCAGTAACTTCTTTCTTCTGAGCCCTCTCTGGCAACATTCTTAATGTTCACATTTCTGCCAACAGCTGGTTGAAGACACTTCTGGCTTTTTCTGTTATGCTCGCTGACTCAATGGACATGAATTTAAGCAAACTCCAGGAGATAGTGAAGGACAGGGAAGACTAGTATGCTGCAGTCCATGGGGTCGCAAAGAGTTGGACACAGCAACTGAACAACAACAATTGTGCTCTCTGACATCCTTTCAGTCTTTGCTCAATTCCACAGCCACTTCCACATTTTTAGGATTTGTTACAGCAGTACCTCTCACTCTTGATACCAACATCCATAGTAGTTTTCTACTGCTGCTACAACAAATCACCAGAGACTTCATTGCTTAGAAGAAATCAGATTTATTATCTCACAGTTCTGAAGGCCCCAAATCCAACATGGATGTCATTGGGCTAAAATCAAGGCATCAGCAGAGCTGTGTTCCTCTCTGGAGGCTCAAGCGGAGTATGTGCCCTTGGTCATTCAGGTTGTTGGCAGAACTAAGATCCTGGTGGTTGAAGGACTGAGGTTTCTGTTTTCTTGCTGGCAGTTACCCGAGGGTCATTCCCAGCTTCTAGAGGCCATCTGGATTCCTTGGATCTTTGGGTGGTGGAAGATCTCTGCCACCATATTCAAAGCCAGCAGCAGAGGATTAGTACCTCTCATCCTTTGACCAACTCTCCTGCTCTCCTCTTCCACTTCTAAGGGCTCATGCAATTACACTGGGCCCACCAAAATAATCCAGAACAATCTTCCCATTGTAATGTCTTTCAGCTTAATTCCAGCTGCAAAATCCTTTCTGCTATGGACTATAAAATATTTATAGATTCCATGGATATCTTGAGGACTATTATTCTGGCCTACTGCAGACTCTCTTTGACCAACTCCTGCCCCCATCTCCAGCCTGCTCTCTCTTGTGCCCCAGAGTACCTTCTCTCCCCTGAAATCCTGACCACCTTACAGTTCCTGCAACAGGTCAAAGTCTCTTTCCCCACCTGGCCCTTGTATGTGCTCATCCTTCTGCCTGGAGCACTCCTTCTCCTCTCATCACCCCACTCATCTTTCAGGTCCCAGCAGTCAGCCCTGCTCCACCCCAACTGGGCCAGCATACGTCTCTGCAGAGAAATTGCCTTTTTGAGTGTGCTTCACCACCACCTCCACCCTCCCGTTAGTGTGAGTGGGTGAGGAAGGAGCCGGTTCTCTTCTGTATATCAGCAGATCCTGATGCCTAGCCTATGGTAGAGGAAGGTAGGAAGGGGAAGGTGAGGTCCCTTGGGGAGGTTTAGTCCTCATCCCACTTCCGAGGGGTGTTAGAGCAAGAGCCACTTAAGTGCCTCCGCGTGTTTGAGATGTCATAAAGACGAAGGCTGCCAGGGCCCATCCTCTACCCCCCAGCCCCAGCTCAGGCCCCACAGACTCAACCAGGAGCCCTAGCTGACTCAGTCACATGGTCACCTCTGGGCTGCCCTCCCTGGACCACCCACATCTGCCCTGATGGCGAAGTCTCTTCCCACTCACAATGGGGAGCCCTGAGAAGCCCCAGAGGAGCAGTTGTATTTGTGAGCATGATCCCTAAAGAGGAGGGCCGAGTTGGGATGGGGGGGCGATGGAGCAGTGTGAGCCAGCCCAGGCCCCACCTGTCCCGCCATCGAGGGGCACTGAGGCCTCGATGGGTCTGCTGGCTCTGAAAGTAGAAAAGGGGCACGTGGTCCCGACAGGTCTGGAGAGAACCAAGACACACTGGCCTGAGCCTGGTCCAACAAGCCACAAGTCACCAGGCAGAGAGAGGAAAGCGTTGGGTCACCCAGTCTGAGTGGGAGTCCCCTTTATTTGGGTACGCTTCTGGGTGGCTAGATGCTGCAGGTGGCACTCAATATGGACCAGGAGGGCATCCAGCATATGCAGGACACCGAGGAGGAGGGCGCGGTCTGAGATGGGGTTCTGTTGTTTCCAAGTTGCGCAGGTGTGGGAGGTCAGCTGCGGATGCTGAGGACAGGACGGAGAGGCAGGAGTGAGAACATAGGGAAGGGACAGAGGTCTGGTGGGAAGCGGGGGCTTAGGGTGATGGAGGATCAGGGAGCGGCCGATGTGGCCTCTTGTGTTCTGGGGCCCATGCAGGCTGGGTGAGGGCTAGAGATGTTACAGGGGGAAGATGGGACAGGTACCCCCTCCATGGGAATGGCCAGGGGGAAGATGGGATAGGGTACCACCCACAGGAAATGGCCAGGGACTGTCGGCTGTGGACAGACATAAGGCCCCTGGGGAGGGAGCGATGGGGGAGGGGCGGCAGGAGACATGAGTGGGGGGATGGGTAGAACAGAGGTAGGAGGCGGTGGGGACCGAGCCGGGCTCACCTCGCTCTTAGAGGCCTGTGAACGCCGCCGCTGCATCAGCGCACGGCTGAGCATCAGCATCATGGTCGTGGTGACTGTGACCCCAGCCACCGGGTAGATGCGGTTGGTCCCCAGGCCCATCCAATAGCCGGGACAGCCCAGGCTGCTCTTACAACCCTCCAGTCTGCTTGGCTGGCACCCCCAGGGCTGTAAGTCCAGCCCCACCTGGTACCACATGGGCCGTGACCAGGCGTGGGTGCAGACGGGCATCGTCAGTAGAAGCAGCCACAGCAGGAAGGACTGTATGTGCAGCATGGCTGCGGCAAGTGCCAGGGGCCGGAACCTGGGCGCCTGGCAACGCGCAAACACCCCTCCCCCAGGGGGAGCAGGCGAGGCAGGAGGTTCCAGCTGGCCCCGTGGCTTTCAGGAGGGGCAGCATGGCCAGGAACCATGGGGAGCAGGCTGGGGGCCCAGAACTGAAGGCATGCCTCTTCTCCCCTCCTCCTCACCTAGCATCCAACCCCTAAAATTCTAGCCCCCACAACTCCTAATGCTGCTCTCCACTGGCAACAGGCCAATCAAGTCGAGTGGAGACGTGCTTCCTGCTTCCCAGACTCAGCCCCAAGGACCACAAGTGAACACTCAAAAATGCAGGCGCATTCTCTCAGGAAAAAAGCCTGAAGGCTCAACCTGGTCTGCGAGGCACTCTGTGCTCTGGTCTCCCCTGCTGACCCATGCAGACCACGCTGGTGTTCCTTGAACACACCCTACGCCAGAAGCACTGTCCAAAAAGATGACTGGATGTCAACTCAAGTGTCACCTGCTCCCTGAGCCTCCCTCCTAGAACCATCCTGGGTAACACAGTCCCGTCTCTCTCACGTGACCCTGCTTTACTTTCTTCAAAGCATCTCTAAGTACAGGTACACCTCAAAGATACTGTGCTTCAGTTCCAGCCCACCAAAATACATAAAGCGAGTTGCGTGACTTTTTTTGGTTTCTCAATGCATATAAAAGTTACGTTTACACTACACAGTATTCTATGAAGCATGGAATAGAATTATGTCTAAGAAAAAGTACATACCTTAGTAAAAAAAAAAAATCACTTTATTGCTAAAAATTGCAAACCGTCATTGGAGCCTTCGGCAAGTCATAGCAGTAACAAAGATCACTGATCACAGATGCTCATAACAAAATAACAATATTGAAAAAGTGTGAAATACTGTGAGAATAACAATGTGACAGAGACACACAGTGAGCAACTGTTGGAAAAATGGTATCAATAGACTGGCTCCAATGCAGGGTTGCCACAAACCTTCAATCTGTTAAAAAAAAAAAAAGAAAGAAAAATACAGCGCAATACACAAAGTCTCCCTGTAACTACAGGTCCATGTTTGAGGTTTCCCTTCCACTCCAGCACCTACGCTTCACTTAAGCAGTATTTACCCAGCGCCTCCAGATGCCAGGTACTGTTCCTTGTGGCTGGAGGCTGTGACATGGTGACAGGCAGTGTGATGGCGTAAACAAAGCGCCCTGACTTCCTGGGCAGGGAGGTGGGGGGTGGGGGCAAGGACAGAGAATTCGTGAACGCGAGCAGGGCACTGACACAGGCCAGGAGAGAAACCGCCAGGCAAGGGGGGGCCTCGTCCCCTGGCCCAGCACCTGCAAAGGGCAGGCTCACGTGTTTTGGCAGGTGACGCGAGTCTACCACTGCCACAAGCTATCTGTGCATGCACTCGAATACTCATTGAGCAACCCATGAAGTGGGTACTCTTCTCATTCTCTCCTGAGGAGGACAGAGGCCCAGAAAGATTCGACCCCTCACCCTAGCCCTGATCACTCAGGATCAGCTGGCCCAAAGGACCACTGCTGTCCACGGGGCCACACGCCCAGGTGTCAGTGTTTTATGGCCAAAATCAACAGGTGGTTCTTGGCCGACAGTGACCTGCAAAGTCCAGATAGTGTAATTATATGAATAGGCAATTTTTTCCCAAGTAAGTCAATCCCGCGCATTCTTTTTTTTCTTTTGACCATGCTGTGGGACTTATGGGATCTTAGTTTCCCGGCCAGGGGTCAAATCCTCACCCTTGGTAGTGAAAGCTGAGTCCTAACCACGGGACTGCTGGGGAACGCCCACATTCTCCTCGCCACAGACCTGCAAACACTAAATGCAGGTGTTCACGGCACAGCCCTGGGGGGCACCCAGTGGAACCTGGCCTGCCCTGCACCTGCTTAGGTGTCCTTGTGAACAGGCCATTCTTGAGAAGCAGCTCTGATTCCAACCACTTTATAGATGAGGACACAGGTGCTGAGGGCTGCATGCAGCAGGGGGTGGATGGGGTGCGGAATGTGGACCGAGGATGCCCCCGCCCTGGGCCTGGCCCCCCAGCTTCACACTCTCCTTGTTCCACACTCCCCCTGCCTGATCCTGCCCTCCCCAAACTTTTCCCCCAACATCTGACTCCAGTTCCAACTTTGGGGTGTAGGAAGGGTCAGAAGCCAGGGCTGCGGACCACACCCTCGCCCCACCAAGCCACAGCAGACCCTGGTATCAGGCAAACAAATCTTTATTCCTGAGGCCAAAAACATGCTTGCTTCTCCAACTCGGCCAGTGTCTCATCCGAGGCCTAGAGCACTGAACTTGGAGTCCCAGGACCTCCATCCCTGAGTTATGTGTGTGAGTGCGCGTGCGCGGAGGGGACTCCTGGTGACGTCCAGAGGCAGCCTAGGGGTGGGGGTTTCTCACGGGTACCCTGTCAAACCTTCAGAGGCAGGCAGTCTCAGGCGGGATGGCCGCAGGATCAGAGTTTGGTAACCTGGGCAGGGAGAGGAGGAGAAGGCGGTGGGTCCCCGCAGGACAAAGCCATTCTGAGTCATCCAGGAAGGGCGGACTTCCCGAAATGGGGTCAGGAGGGGACGAGCAGGAGATAAACAGACAGAGCTCAACAGGCCAGAGGTCAACTCACCAAAACAGGGTCGACGGGGCCGGACCTCCGGTGTTGGAGTGCAAAGAGGACAGCGTCATGGATGGAGGCAAAGAGATGCTGCTTGGTGATAGAAGCATCGAAGAAGTGCCCATCCTCAAGCTGCGTGATCACGGGAGCTGTGGGCAACGAGTAGGTCTCTCCTGACTCCAGAGCCACCAGGAACCCCCAGGTGCCGGCAGAACGTCCCCCTAACCATCACCTCTATGGCTTATAGCTAATCCCCCGCTCGTGACCCTTGACCCTGGCCTCCCAGGACACCTCTGACCTCCGTTTTCAGAGAAAGACTTTTTCCCTGTGCTGCCCGGCAGACTCCTTGGCCGGAACTCCCACCCCCTACCTGGACTGCTCTCGCTGTGTCTACCCCACGAACCTTGGCAGGCGGCTATGTACACCTCCACCTCGATCTCCCTGAAGTCGCGGAAAATCTGCAGCAGGAAAGTGGGCCAGGCTCAGAGAGGGGCTCAGGGCAGGCGGAGGGAGGGAGTTCAGAGGGGTAGCTCAGGGCCTGGGGGACCAGGCTCAGAGGGCTCTTGGAGCTAGTTTAGGGTCAGGGTTGAAGATCAGGGTTGTCCTCCCTGAAGGCCCTTCTTAGGGACGCCCCCAGCCCCTTACATTCTTCAGGCTCTTGAGACACACAGTGTCCACGAAGGAGAAGGAGCTCAGGTCCAGGATGAGGGTGTGGAAATCTGGCTGAGGCAGGCCCAGGGCCTTCAGTGAGGACATGTCTGAGGCTTTGGCATCTTCTGGAGCCCAGGCTCCTGTATCCTCTAGCTCAGTCCCTGTGCTCGCCTCCTGGGGAACCAAATACATTGCAAGGGCTGCCCATGGTGGGGGTGAGGGTGGGAGGGAAGGAGGGCAGGGAGCAGAGGTGAAGGCAGGGAACATGCACAGGTGTGTGGAGACACACAATCAGACATGAGAGCATACACATAAATGCACAAATATTTATGTGCATGTTAATATATTTATGTGCATGTTAATGCACAGAGGACACAGGAAGACATGGACACAGGGAGCTTGTATGCAAAGACAGGCGGGACACATGGGGACACCCAGACTCGGGGAGCACACACAGACTGTGCTCTGTTACCGCCTGGGCCCCCACTTAATAGGGACATTTAAGAAGGAAGGGGAGGACTTCCCTGGTGGTACAGTGGATAAGAATCCACCTGCCAATGCAGGGGACCTGGGTTCATTCCCTGATCCAGGAAGATCCCACATGCCACGGAGCAGCTAAGGTGCGTGCCACAACTACTGAAGCCCGTGTGCCTAGAGCCTGTGCTCTGCAGCAAGAGGAGCCCCCGCCCTCCGTAGCTAGAGAAAGTCCGCACAGCAACAAAGACCCAGCATGACCAAGAGTAAAATAAATAAGCAAATAAAAACTATTTAAAGAAGAAAAAGAAGGAAGGGGATCAGGAGACAATGCCCCATCCTCAGGGGGCCAGAGTGGAGTGGGTGGGGGGCGCAGGAACAAAGCAGAAGAGACACACGTGCTCACACAGACATCCTACTTTATGTCTACCAGAGTCTCTACTTGAGATTGGTGTCCCCCTTGACCCCAGATTTTTTCCACATTACCAGCCCCTTCTCCCCGGCCCATGAGCACAGACTGCAGAGTCTTGTGGGATCCACAAATTCAAGGTCTTTGTCTAGGCATCAGATTACAGACTGGAGAGTCCCAAGCAGAAGTCTATGGCATATCACAAGAGGTCTCCCTGCAGAGCATCGGATCCATCACTCCTCTCCTCCTGCCACTGGCACGACAACCTTGAACCCACAGCTGGTAGGTCCATGGACTTCCTCCCGGGATCACCTGGGCACCCTCATCCCTGAAGCTCCCCCCTCCGCCCTGTCTCACCTTGGCCTTGGAGCCCTCCACATCATTGTTGCTCTCGATGTCCACGACACTGGCGTTGACGTTGATGGAGATGGAGGTGTCCTTGGAGGTGGCAGCCTAGGCAGAGAAAGAGGAGGGGCCAGGAAAGAGGTGTCCAAGATGTCAGGTGACAATCAGGCCAGGCAGGCCTGGCGTTGTCCCGTGGCTTTACGCAGGTAGGTAGGTGGACCAGGAACTGAAGCTTGGGACCTGGAGCAGCCAGGCTGAAGGCTGTGGGGTTGTGACCAACTATGGGAAGAGGACTGTGATGGTTCATGCCACCACTGGCTTAGGAGGCGGGAGAAAAAACCAGATTCCCCCTAGAGCCCTGATCTGCCAGGGGAGGAAAGCAGGGTCCCTGGGGGCACCAGGGAGCGAGGAGAAGGGCTGAAAAATGAGGGTGAACAGCCAGGAGCCTGGGAGGGGTCAGAGGGCCCTGCCTGTTTGGGGGTCTTATTCTCCTTCTGCAGTCGCTTCAGCTTCAGGTCTTGCTTCCGAAGCAGCTTCTTCTTCTGAGAGAGGAGGCAGTCCACATCCACACCGCACTGCAGTGAAGGACAGGGCACGGGATGTGCAGGCTGCAGGAGAGGAGGGACCCTCTGCCCCTGGCCCTCACCCCGCAAACCCCAGGCCTCACCCTCTGCTTCAGTGAGTCACTGTAGAGCTCAGCGTTGGCAAAGTACACGGTGACCGAGGAGCGGAAGACCTTCACGCCTGGGACCTCCCTGGCCTGGGGACAGGTCCGGTTGGGGTGGCTGAGCCCTCGTCTCTCCTAGCTGCATCGTGCCCTCCTTTCTTTCCTCCCACTGTATGCCCGGACACCAGTCACCCCAACCCTCTGCTGCCCAGCCAACACAAGGCCCAGCCTGCGGCCCATGCCCCCCCGGGGCTGGTGAGGTCATCCTGACCCCTCAGCAGGGCCTGTCGGAGCTTCTTCCTCCTCCAGGGGGTCCTCAGCCTCTCCCATCCCATCCCCCAGTCCTTCTGCCAATACCCAGGCCGGGGGAGTTCCCTGGTGGCCCAGTGGTTAAGACTCCACACTGGCACTGCAGGGGCATGGGTCCGATCCCTGGTCTGGGAACTAAGATCCTGCAAGCTTCTTAGCCAGGCCAGGTTTCAGGGGCCCTCAGCTTCTGCTTGGGTGTCCAACCCTAGCACTGGGGGGGTTGTATCCTGCATGCAGACAGAGTTCCTCCACAGCTGCTAGCCCACCCAAGGCTTCCCCGGCTCCTACGCCACTCAGGACACTCCAGGTTTCTGCCTGGCCTTTGGGTCAGAACCATGTCCCTGCCCTCCCCACTGACCCCCGCTTCCCCTACCTCCCTTTCCATCCAGCTGAGCTCCTTCCTGCATGTCCCCCCCCCCACCCTCCCACTCTGCCTCATGTACTGGGCTCAACTTTCAAGTCTCCATGAGGGGAAATGAGTTGGTTTGATTCCGGAGCCCCCGCCTTTGTTCTCAGAAACTGGCATGACACTTCTCAGGAGGTAAAGGACAGTAACCGCATTGATAAGATCCGGAAACAACTTCCCTTACATCCTGGTGCCCTGGATCCTGCCCCTCTGCATTCCTGACCCAGGGCTATTCCGCAGAATGAGGCTTGAACTGCTACCTCTGAGATGGATCCCACTCCCGGGCCCCAAGGCCCACACTCCGAGTGTATGTATAGGGGGACTCCAAATTCCTCTCTTGAAATTTCAAGGACCAAAGCACCGTTAGCACCCCACCCCACTCCCTTGCCCGCGCCAGGCATGGAAGGTGCTGATAAGGGATGGCCCAGTCTGCCCCATCCCTCCCCGTCCGTGTCATCCCCCGGCTTAGCTCTTGCTGCTCACCCCTGAGTACTCTGCCACGTCTCTGTAAATATCCGTGTCTGGCACCTGCCCCAGGACAGAGTAGTGGGGCCTGTAGAAGGAGACAGTGCCACAAGAAGGGGGCGTTAGGAGAGGGGGCAATGAGGACTTTCTAAGGAGCCTGGGGTCCCCTCCCCCGCCACAAGATGCGGGAAAGCTGGAGGAAGCCAGTGGGGACCTTGTCCCCTCACCAGCTGGAATAGGGGGGCAGACATCACAGGGGTGACTCACATCTGGGTGCGGACCACCACAAGCATCAGGGAGAATACTACGGCTACGGCCAGGCCGAGGTCCAGATTCAGCAGGATGGTGGCCACGAAGGTCACCACCCAGATGAGCTGAAAACAGAAGGGGCACAGTCCACAGGCTCCAGCAGGGTCACGGGGCCAGGGGCCCTGACCCCATCCCTAGCGTCCCAGGTGTCTCACCAGATCCACTCGATTGGCCTTCCAGAGGGAGAACACATCAGTGAACTGCATCACCATGCCCTTCAAGTTCACGATGACCACGGCAGCCAGGACCGCCTAGGGGACGGGGAGGGTCACCAGGGGCTAGTGAGAGGTGCTGGCTGCTGACCACCCTGAATCCGCCGCATGAGCCAGACTGTCTTGGAGCACCCGGTAGGACCCTCACCTGGGCTCTGATGCTCAAAGGTGTTTACCCCTGCCCCTCCACCCCAAACCTATCCCCAGAGATTTCCAACTTGACAATCAGGGGGTGACCCTGTATCCTTCCCCTGGGATCTGTATCCCTCCCTGTCTCCGGGGACCTGATGGACTGCTCTGAGTTCCTGGCCTGGCCCAGGCCTTCAAGCCTAGCTGGGTGGGCTGGGGGCTCACCTTGGGCAGGTCTTGGAAGAGTTCTCCCAGTTTGACGATGATAATGAGGATGAAGAGGGAGGAGATGGCTCCAGCCACCTGTGGAGTGGGAGTGAGCAGGGCGGGTGGGCTGGAGTGCAGGGGAGAAGGGGGGAGAGCTGGGGGGAAGGGGGGGGCAGGTGGAGGGGGGGACAGGGGAGGACCACCCAGCAAAGCAGCATGCATGCGTGCAGAAGCACACCTATGCCCACCTGTGTGTTGCCCCCAGTGCTCTCCTGTACCAGGCTCCGAGACATAGAGCAGCTCACAGGGAAGCACCGGAAGATGCCCCCGATGAGGTTACTGAGGCCGAGAGCTACCAGCTCCTGAGTGGGCAGTGAGGAGTGAGCACGCGTCACTAGCAGTGTGGGGTCACCGTGTTCAGGCTGACGCACCCCCACGTCCATGCCCACTTTGCAGCCCACAGAGACTCGGCCACTGTCCCGTGCCCCCCCCCGCCGCGGCCCCAGCACATCTGTGGGCTCCTTCCCTGTCTCCCACCTGGCATTCCATCCCCCCACTCCTTCCCAGGGCCTGGGGTCTGGGGACCCCTGCCCCCTCTGTGTCCCACATCCCATTCCCCAGACCTGGTTGCTATACACCCGGTAGCCGTGCCTCAAGGCGAAGATCTTGCCCAGCGAGATGGCGATTGCGAACCCGACCACAGCGATGGCGAAGGCATTGCCCAGGAGCTTTGCAAACAGCTGGGGGCTGGGGGCCATCGGGGGCACCAGCCTGTGAGGGGCATCGGTGAGGCCAAAGGAAGGTTTGGGCCTGGCTGCCCAACCCTCCCTGACCCGAAAGGGGCCGGAGCTCACCCCGCGGGGATTTTGCCCACGATGTCCACCCCGAATGCCTGCTTCAGGCCCGCGCCGTAGGAAATGCCTGTGGCCACGATGAGCTGCGGGGAGAGGACGCAGTCAGGGCAGGGCCTGGCACCACCACCGTGAAGCAGTGGGGAGAAACCAGAGAAACCACTTGGGGGGTAAAGAGAGAGGCCTGAAGCGAAAACTTCAGAGGGGTTGGGAGAAGTCAGCGATAGGCTGAGAAAAGGGAGATGCTGCCAGGGGCTGTCTGCTGGGGCTCCCCCCTCCCCGCCACCCCGTCTTCAGTCCCCACTCCAGTTAGTTTCTAAATACCTGGGAGATGCCCACATGGCAGAGACTCTCCTCACTTACCCTTCCCCCAGTCTGCCACCACCCCCCTACCCCACAACATCATCCCCCACCCCACCCCCACCCCCAGAGGGCCCCCGGAATTCCAACCGTGAGCAGCTCCCCGGGGAGTGGCATGGGCAGATGTCGTCGCAACTTTTCATTCAACAGCTTCACCAGCACAAGCACCACTCCGGCCACTATGGCAGTGACCACGGTACCGACCACCGTCTGCGGCAGCTTCCAGCAGACCTCCAGTGCTGTCTGAGGGGAGGCGGGGTCACAGCCAGCCCTCCTGGTCCTGGGCCCCTCCACCTGTCCCTCCCCCCCGCCCTCACTTACATAGATGAGGGACAGCGGTCCAGAGCGGCTACTCAGATGAAGGCCAAACACATACTTGAGTTGCGAGACAAAGACGTGCACAGACGCGGCCGTGGTGTAGGCTCGGACCAGAGGCTCTGATAGGTAGGTGACCACGAAGCCGAAGTGGACCATGCCCAGCCCCACCTGTGGGGTGCACGGGACAGTCACGGAGGTGAGGGTCCTAGCGGTGGCCGGGGCAGAGCCTAGGGTGGGTGGGATCATGAGCAATGAGGGGGAGGTGATGGTCAGACACTCAGAGAAAACTGTCAGATGGGGTGGGGTGGGGGTGTGGGGCGCGATTGGCAGTCAGGGGCATGTACTCCTGATGGCTCTGCACCTGGAAGAGGCCAACAAGGACACTGAGAGTGGAGGCCAGCTGCACCCGGGTAGCGTCTCTGGCTGCCACATCGAGTGTGGAGTTCAAGCCCAGCATGAAGGCATTGTCCGGAGCCAGCGATTCCATCACACTGCCCACCATCACGGACATGACGGCAAAGGTACCTGTAGGGGCAGATCAGGGTGGTCTGAAGAGGGGAGAACACAACCTGCCCTGGATCCCGGGTCTTAAGGGAGCAACCAGGAGACACCCAGTTCTGGACAAATGTTCCCAGTCTATGCTGTGCAAATAGAGGGCAGTGCTGATGGTCAGGTATGCACCCCAAGTTCCAAGGCTCTTTAGGGTGCCTAGACACATTGACCCTGCATCATTTCCCCTGCCCAGGCTGTGTCCACAGGCTCATGACGGGTCCCCTAGTGAAAAGTGGAACGGCGAAGGGGGCATGGCCTGACTCAGGCTTTCAGACTTGTGCCAAGTCTGGGCCCCACGAGTGGCTTCATCCACCCACATCCTCCTGGGTCAGGGCCTCTAATAATCTGAATATGCATCTGCATGGTCAGAGGCCCAGTCCCACTTAGAACGCCCAAGACCAATGCCTCCCTCCCTCTTCCCCAGGTCTCTCTGCCTTGCTCAGCACCCCCCCCCCACATCCCCCACGGGGAATGTGGGCATGCTCCTGCAAGGCTAGGCCTGGCTCCACTCACCCACAGAGATGTGCCGGGAAGTGCCGAACAGGAAATAAACAAAGACAGGATAGAAGGAGCTGTACAGGCCAAACACAGGGGGCAGTCCAGCCAGGAGGGCATAGGCTAGGCCTAGAGGTGGAGAGGTAGCAATGTAGACTTAAGGTCAGGGGCTTGACAGGATGAGGAAATGCTGGCCCTGGGTCAGGCACCATAGTCCCAGGGGCAGGGGTCATGCTTTTGGCCATGGGGAAGGCAGGGGTTGAGGTGGGGGTGGGGTGCACAGACCACAGGCTAAGGCCTTGAAGGGTCAGGATCACCATCGAAGGGTTGAGGGTACAGTCTCCAGGTCAAGCGTGGCTTACCCTGTGGTAGCTGCATAATGGCCACACTCAGGCCAGACAACAAGTCACCCAGAAGCCAGTCACGCACAGAATACTGGGGGAGCCAGGCCAAAACCGGGAGGTATTGAAGCAGAAGGGCTTGGGCCCGCGCGCGGGAGCACCTGGGGACACCAGGGTAGGTATTAGGTGCTGGTGGTAGTTTAGTCGCTCAGTTGTGTTCTTCCCTTTGTGACCCCCAAGGACTGTAGACTGCCAGGCTCCTCTGTCCATGGGATTATCCAGGCAAGAATACTGAAGTGGGTTGCCATTTCCTTCTCCAGGAGATCTTAATGACCCTGGGAATTGGACCCGGGTCTCCAGCATTGCAGGCAGATTCTTCACTGACTGAGCCACCAAGCCCAAGCCCAAATAGGTATCAGAGGCAGGGGCTCCCTCGGTCCTGGCCAGGACCCACCATCAACCTTACCGAAACCAGGTTCGCCACTTGAGCGTCACTGGTGCTGGCCTCCGGCTCCCCAGCTCCTCCAGCTGTTTTTGGTTCAGCAGGGGCCGCTCCACATGGTAGTCTCGCCGCCTCAGCTCCATGGCCTCCGTCGTGGACAGCAGTGCCTGCGTGTCCCTCTGTCTGGTGGGTGGGGGGGGTGCGGTGAGGCCAGAAACAATGAGGACACAACTTGGCCCAGCCACCCCTAGACCTCCACCTGGGACTGAAGGATGCCCCACTTGGCTTTTCTAGGTCTCAAGATCCAGACAGGTCCAACCTCCCAGCCAGCTCCTGCAGGCTCCAAGGCCCACGCCCAGGCACGGGCAGTACCTGAACTTTGGCTAGTGGAAGACTCTTGCTGGGCCAAAGTCCCCCACAAAGAGACAGCAGGATGAGCATAAGCCACACTTCGGCCCAGGTGTGGCTGCCCAGGCTTTGGTGTTCGCCAATCTAGCTTGCAGGCTGACTGCTCCTCCCAGCCTCCTCCCCCAACCCCCGCTCTCCGCCAGCCAATCCCCGTCCAGTCTGAGCCCTTATCCAGCCGCCCCACGACCCCGGTGCATGTTGTCTGAGAGTGCAGACACAGACACGGGAGGAGGAATCCAGCACAACAGGCAAGCCTCTTTATAGGAGGAGGCTGGGAAAGCACTGGGGCTAAGACTGCCCCCAGAACTCCAGTCACACGGTCCAGGTGGTAGAGAACTGAGGCCCCATCTGGGAAATCCAGGGGCATGGTTCTCACCGGGAGGGAAGAGTTTTGAGCCTGGAAAGGGACGCTCCCTTATTAATGGGGGACAATCCCACTTGAGAAGATGATCTCTGGGAGGATCTCGCCTAATAGGAAGCTCTTCCCTGACAGGTAAGTTTTCACCAGCTAGGTGAGGTCTGTCCTGGGGAGAATCTCTGATCTGCCCAGTGGCTACCATCTGAATAAGGGGAATGATCTCACTGGAATAGGAGATCTGGCGGGGAGGGAGTTCTTAGGGTTCCCTGATGGCTCACTGGTAAAACAAACAAAAAAACCCGCCTGCAATTCAGGAGACGCAGGTGCGATCCCTGAGAATCCCATGGACAGAGGAGAGGAGCCTGGTGGGCTACAGTCCATGGGGTCGCAAAGAGGAGGACATGAACGATGGATCGATCGACTGAACTCACAGGCATGGGGAAGGAGTTTCTACCTGGGGCACGCTCTCACCTGGGAGAAGCTGTCCCAGAAATAGTTCTCCCTTGGGAATAGGAGCTCTTGGAGAGTGAACGCTTACCTGGGGGAAAGTTTTCACCTGCCAGGGAACTTCTGATCAGGAGGGACTTCGCACCTAAGGTAAGCTCTGAGTGGGGAAAGCTCACACCTAGGAGGGGATCTCAGAGGGGGAATGCTTACCTGGAGAGTAGCTCCCCTCTTTGGGGGAAAGCCTTCACCTGTCAGGAAATTTCTGACCTGTGAAAAGCTCTGACCTACGGTAAGTTTCCCAGCTGGCGGGCAGGAGCTCACCTGGAAAGGGCTTCTAACCTGGAAGCCCCGGTGGAAGGAGGGAGTGGAGTGGGTGCAAGGACGATCCTGAGACTATTGGTATTGCCGACTCACAGAGATCTTTGAGCCCCCCTCGCCCCTCCTCCGTGAGTCATTTGAGATCTTAAAGGGCGCCCACTCCCGCCCCCTCGCGCCCCCGCCGCCGAACCCGCGCTTGGAGGGCGGGGCCTAGCTCCTTGGCTCCTCCTTCTAGGAGGGCCCGGCACCCAGAAGGGCCGGAGCTTTCATTCTCGGACCGGTTTCATCGCTAGATGGACACAAGCCCCCGCTGTGGACACTCTTGCAGCCACGTCCAGGGCCCCAACGCGCCGCACCGGCGCATCTCCTGAGCCGGAGCTACTCCGCACACAGCCGCCTCCCGGCGGCTCCCGGCTAGCCCTCGGACGGCGCTGGAGCGGCTTTCCTCGCAGCCCATAGGGGCTGGCGTCGCGCGGGCTCCCGCCCCATCCCTCGCTACGGTTGGGCAGCCGCCTGCAGAAAATCCACAAAGCGGTAAACAGAGGCGCGGCAGGCGGGAAATGCCTGCTCGGAACTCGGTGGTACCCCCACCCCTTTCCTAACTAACCCAAGCCGGGCACCTGCTCGGGAGCCAAGGAGTGGTCCGCCCCTCGGCCACTCGAACGCGAGGAACCTGCACTCACCCCGGCGCTTCCGACAGCCCCATGGCGGGTGGGCATCCAAGAGGCGGTAGCTCCCAAGCTCGATCTAGAGGACGCTAAGGCCCGAGAGGCGGGGCCGGGACAGAGGCCAGGCCTGAGGGTCACTCCCAGCGGCCAATCCCCGGGTAGAACGGGAAGGCTTGGGCCAATCAGCGTGCTGGGGCGGGGCTTAAGAGACGCTCTGGCGGCTCAGCGAACCCCAAGGAGGGAGATTTAACCCTTTCCTTCCCCTGTGACTTGGCTCTGGCTCCTCCTCGTGGCCCGACTAACTCTCTCTTGCCTGAGCGGGTTGTGGGACCATGCGGGATTAAGGACCGGAGCTGGTTCCTGAGCGGTGTGGGGCTGACACCGGGTCCTGGCTTCTTGTGGAGGATGCCCTCGGGGTGGGGAGCAGAATGTCTAGGGGCGCGGCTGATGACCAGAGCCTTAACTCTCCGTGGGGTGTCCGGGTCCGTGGGGCCTCTCATGCCTCCATGAGGGCACCACCCTCAGGCTTTGCCACTGAGATCTGGCATGTCTCTAAGACCCGAGGGGCTCAAGGGCTCCCTTCAACCCTGGACACACAGACCTGAAAGTTTGCTAGCTTCCCCCCACCCCGCCTCCGCCTTCCCCAAAGGAAGCACATGATGCCGAAAGGCTTCTGCCTGGGTTCCTGATGAACGGGATGTCCGACAGCTAGGGGTCAGTGGTGTCGATGGACTGAAGGCAGTTCCTAGGGTCGGTTTGACAGCCAGAGCAAATGCCAGGTCAGGGCGGCAGGGCCCGGCAGACATAGGAAGCCATCAAGTTGCTGCCTTGACGGGGCCTTACCCTGTGCTCATACTTAAAGTCCGGCTTCAAGGCGAAGGGACAGAATTCAGGGTGAGATCGCAACCTGGTCCAGATCTTCAATGAAATGAGCTAAAAATAGCCGAATATTCTCGGAGAGGAGGAGGGGGCAGTGCTCAGATTTCTCTCCAAGGTCAACCCCGGGGAATCATTCATAGCCACCCTCCAACCCTATCCCCCACCCCGAAACAGAATGAGGCAATAACCATTTTCTATAGAAGTTTATTCCCAAAACAGAGCGCGGCTTCACGGAACAATTTACACAGACAGGAAAAGGAGCCACTGGGCTGGAGGGGGCACTCCCCCTCCCAGAGAGGAGCAACTACAGAACCTAGGACATAGCAAGGACAACCCCCTCTCCCCACAGCAGACCCTTCAACCCTTCAAGGGCTGGGGTCACTCTGGGTAAGGAGAGCTGGGGTCCTGGCTGGTGGGATTTGGCACCAGTCAGTAAAGTAGAACTTTTAATCTCCTTGAAAACTGCCTACCAAGAGTATGCGTGAAGGAGGTGGGTGTCTGCACAGACCCTCCACACCCCTGCACGGCCGCTGTTCCCAGTGATAAGAAGATGCCTACTCTTACCACTGGGCCTTCTGGGCCTGCTGTCAACAGGGGACTCAGAGCTGACCTTTGGCCTGGGACGACTAGGGGTTTAGAAACCCCTCAAGATGACCAGGTTCAGGGTCCTCACAAGTGGGTCCTCCAAGCCCCTCTCCCACATTTTCTACCTTGCACTTGTAAACAAAGGGGGGGGGCGGGAAACATTCTCAACTGTAAACAAAGTGTAAAGTTCACAAAGTTTTAAACTGTAAACAAAGTGTAAAAACCGTTTTAAAATCTTGACCTGTAAACAAAGTAACAAAATGTCAAAGCCCCCAGTTCTGGACATCAGACGAAGTAATAAAAGTGAGGGTTTGTGAACTGGGTCCTAACAGTCGTTTTTCCCTTTACAAGGGAATCAAGGAGTGGTGGAACTGAGTCACTACCTGCAGCCCGGGTGCCTGGGGCCAGGGAGGCTCCTGTAAACACGGGAGGCAGCGGCACCTACATTCTGAGTCTTTAATTCCCTTGCTTTTGCTCCCTTTGCTCCCCCTCCTACATCACCCTTCAGAATAAATTCTAGCAGGGGGCAGTGTCAGGGAACCGAATGGCACCAGGCTATTCGTACATGGCAGGGGCAGGGGCTGCGAGGACTCCATCCACCCTCTGCAGGAATGTCTGAATAGAGGCCTGAGCCCCTCCCGTGGGAGAAAGGGGAGCCTAGATCTGTAAACATGACATCTGCTGATCCACCAGCGCCCCACAGCATCAGTCCTGGGACATAAGGCAGTAAGTGGCAGGGACTCCGCATAATAAACACACACATCCACGGGGAGGGGCAGCATGAGCGAGCCCCTGTGAGGAGGTCAGAGGACCCCTGTTTTCAAGACCAACCCTCCAAGCCCCCAAAGTGTGCCCTGTAACATCCAAGCAAAAGCAAAGATTAATTCTGCACTTGGGGCCCCGACAGTATGCAGATCAACCAGGGAATAGGGGGGTGGGGGTGCATTTACCCCTCCTGTCTGAATCCTCCCCATTAAGATGAGAGGAAGGAGCCAATAATTTGCCAGGGACCCAAATGGGCCCAAACTCTGCACCTCTTTCCCCTCTGTCCCCCTCCCCCTCCCAGCCCAGCTTTAGAACCCCGGGAGACCGAAAAGCTGAAAAATAACATAAGCATATCTCTCTGGTTACAAAGGTACAAAACGTATAAAAGTCCTCCCTCCAGCTCCCTTGCTCCCCGCACCTGTTACACGCTTGCACACGCTCACAGAGGAGCATGGACAGTCAGCGCTACAGCAACAGGGAGAGCTGGGAGCAGGGCTGTGGGAGGCTGACCCGGGATTGGCCCCCAAGTCCCGGAATCTCTTTTGTTAGCCCAGATCCTCCATCACCCTCCGCTGGTCCTCTTCTGCTCAGCCGCTCCTCAGGAGTGACCCTCACTTCTGGGAACTCTGTGGAGTTGAATGTGGAGATTGAAGGTGACTGCTGAGAGTCAGGTCCCCCTGGACAATCCACCATACCTGACCCGGGCCACCTCCCCCATCACCTTCTCCTCTTAGTCCCCAGCCTCCTTATGTCCACTCTGTGGTTCTTAGAGCCCTTCACCCATTCTGGAACCCAGACTCACCAGCAAGGCCCTTTGACTGGCCACCTATGTCTTTTCTCTAAGCACTGAGTGAGCATCTACTATGTACAGATTCTGTTAAACACCTGACCAAAAAAAAATCTCCCAGATCTCCACACCTCAACAAGTTTGCTACCGCAGGCCTATTTTGCAGATGATGAAACAGGCTCAGAGAGGTCAGTGTGAGTCCAGAGCCTGAGCCTCGGCTTGGTCCTCCCAGCCCTCCCCAACAGTCAGACCCCAAGGCTGGGCTGCAGGAGGGCCCAGGGGGTGCTCCCAGCTCCCTCATCCCCACCCTAGCATCCTTCCAGAGCCTTGAGCACCTCAGATCTCCTGCACCCTCTCCTTCCCGTCTTCTCCCCCATCTCTGCTCAAGTTCTGATGGTCTCCTTCCCCAGTCCCAGGGTCTCCTTCCCTCTGAAGCCTTTTGTCACCCTATGGACCTCCACAAAACCTGGCCTAGTTGTTCCTCCTCCTTAAAACTCAGCTCTGCTTTTGGCTTCCAAGGCCTGGTCCTTTCTGGTTCCTCACCACTCTCTCTGACTCCTGTACCCAGCTTCATCCCCTACCCTACAAATGAGTGAGATGCACAAGGTCCCAGCTCAATTCCTCTAAGGCCCACCCCACAGTGTTTACAGGCAGGAGGAACTTCATATAGACTGAATGAGTAAGAGAATGAATGATTCACTCTCAAACTGAAGTTCCACAGCCTGCCCTATGTCTGACTTCTCCTTATCCACACTCCACCCTAAGCAAAGCTCCCAAGCAGAGACACCTCCTCTCCTCCCTTCCCCTTCCACATTCCAGGCTACCTCCTGCCCTCCCCCTTCCACGAGTTCAAGCTCTTTGGAAGGCACCTCACTCTCCTCCTGAATCCAGGAGGTGCAGGCCGAGGTCACACAACCACCCAGTTCCTGCTTATCACCACACTCGCTGCCAGACTTCTGCCCTCAGCCCGTGGCTTCCTGGCTGTGCCAAGCCCAGGGCAGCCCACGCGCTCTGCCAAACCCCACCCCGTCTGGTGGCAGAATTTAGGGCAGGGTGCATGGGAGCTTGCCCTAAACTGACGGGGGTGTGAGCAGGTGGCTGGACGCCTCTTACTCTGAGTCTGGCGACAGCTCCGAGATGCTGTGGGAGGTGGCGGAGCGCGGGGTGGAGGGTCCAAGTGCAGAGGCCGTGGCAGAAGGTGTGGCGGTGGTGTGAGGGCCCGAGGGCGTGCTTGAGGACGGCAGGGAGGACGAGAGAGCTGAGGAGTTGAAGGAGGCAAGGATGGAGGAGAGGATGTCCAGCTGCTCTGTGGAGGGGCCGTGGCCCGGGCCACTGGGGGGGTCTTCCCGAACTCTGAGCAGCTGCGGGGCTGGCCCGAGGCATTCTCGTGAGGGGTGCCGGCTAGGTGCGTGGTCCAGCCGCTCCCCTGAGTTCGATCGCTTGGACAGAGAGTCCAGGGGCCGGGATGGCAAGAGGGGGTCCCTTGAGAGTTGCCGCTGGGGAGACAGGGGCAGAGGTGGGGGCTGTGGGTCAAGGTCCCGGGCACCACGGGGTGGGGGCAACGTGCTCAGCCACTCGCAGGGCGCCCCTCGGTCCAGCGCATCCCGCGACCCAAAGCGGCCCGCCGTGGCACCAGGGTAGTCCCTGGGTGGCTGCCGCCGTGGTAGGGTGCTTCCCCGATCCCTGGGCTCCGGGCGGCCTGGCACAGCGTCTAGGCGTTCCTGGGAACCCGGCCGGCTCAAGGGACGCAGGACTGGGGAGGGGGCCTCCTCCAGCCGCTCTCGGCTCAGCTGCCGCCGCAGGAGCAAATCCAGCTGTTCTCGGGAAGAGTAGCGGCTGGCGGGCTGCGACAGGCTGCCAGTGCCCCCGCCAGCACAGATGCGACCGTAAGAGGCAGCCGGCACGGCACGGTGGCCCAAGGTGGCGGCACGGCACCAGGACAATTCAGGGGCGCCCCGGGTCTGTGGCACCAGCGGGTACTGCAACCGGTTCTTCAGGATGCCTGCGGGAGGAACACACGGG